AAACTTTATGTCAGGAATTTTCTATAAATATATGGTGATGAAAAAAATGCATAACTGCCCTGAGATGATAGTGGTCGAGTTTGCACTTCTGAAGGTCATAATAATGGGCGTGCAATGAAACCCGACCAAAAGTCGAATTTATCAGCTACAACAATCAAAGTATTTTCTTCTAACTATGCAAATAATAGAAACTCGAAACTGATGAAGAATCAGGGGATATGGCTATGGTGTGAGAAATATCCAGACTTCAGCTTTCTCACACTATAACCAGAGGAAGAAATTTCAAAGCGATCAGCGCGACATTTCCGTCCTCTAGTGGGGTGTAATAGCAATACCAAGCAATATCGTAAAAGTTATACGTAAATGTGACTACTAACCCGCTAAATATTGACCGATCTTTATCAAAGCAGTCATAATTATTCTTCAGCCGAATCCCCTTCTTCCTGTAAAATTTCGTGATGTTCGGTCATAATTGTGACCTCTAGAGCGTCCACAAAATCAGCCCAAAAGTAAAGTTTTTTGTCCATTTTGTCCCCTAAGTATAAACGGACCATTACCAAAAACAATAGGGGTCTTCTTTAGCTACATGTAAAATTTCGCCACGATTGGTCCATATCTGTGGCCTGTATCGTGTTTATAAAAAACGATACACATGTCAAATTCGCGGCGTTACAAACTCTTGGGGCTACACAAGGGTATAATCACAGAGCCGAAGTATGTAATAAACAAATAAAAAAGTCTCAGTATGTATTGTCGGCAGATGTATACCTGCAGCCAATGACATTTTGTGGGGGAGGTAACAGAAATGATGGACCTATATATCAGAGAGATGTATAAATCTATTGAAATTTACAATTTTACAACATGTTGACCCTTTGTGAGGGGGAGATAGCAGAAGGAGTGGAACCATAGATCTCATCTTTGACATTGATCTCAGTTTGGTAAAATACTATATGTATACAACGGATGAAATCGGATATTCCGTTAGCTTCATACCATATTTACAAACTTTTTAAAAATGTTGACTTCGGTAAGGAAGGCATTCATGGCTGTATTGATTTCTTTTAGCTTGGTTTCCTAATTTGTACAATTAAATTTGGAATTTTTGCAAAACACAATAGCAGACTGTTATCCAGGTATCGGAAAGGATTAGGTTCCATCAAACGTTATATATACGTCCAGAAATTAAAGAATTTGCAAGTTTTGTCTCTATAGCTACCATCAGTTTGGAATATGTAGAAGTTTTTTATTTTCTCAATATCACAGGCTCATTTCGTAAATTTCTAGTTTGTTTTTTCATTGGCACTACTCTAGAAATTATATACCACCAGAAAGAAATAGCGTGATGATAAATACGATTTGGGTCATACCAAAAGACCCCAAACGTAGTAGCAGGGTTGAAGTGCCCCCTGCTTCCTCAAGAGAATGTATTCTTCGGCGCCCAAAAGTATGCCACCAAAAACTCTACAAACAGCGTCATCTCCAGCCCATCTCAAATTGTTAAATATCACAGGTTCATTTCGTAAATTTCTAGGTTGTATTTTCATTGGCACTACTCTAGAAACCCTCAATGGGAATATTTTCCAAAAAACTACATTGAAAGAATTTCCCAAAGCAAAGAATGCAGAATATCGATCTATCATTTGTTAGTGGTAAAAGTTCTGACATAACTACGTAATTTTTTTAACTACTGGATATCGAGTCTGTGTCATACACCACCAAAAAAACATTCAAACTTTCACAATTATTTTTTATTAGCTCACAAATCGTCATTGTTATATGACAAGACAATTTGGAACACGTGTAATTTATTCTAGGTGGTTAAAAAACACAAAATAAAGGGGACAACACAATGACATTGCGTAGAATAAAGGGTACATTTAATAGGCGGTGCTAAAATAAAAACCAACAAACACGATTACTTTTAAATTGTAGCAACAAACTATAATGCCAATGCAAAGCCATGGATAGATAGTTTATTTATAACTTGTTTTTTGACAGACAAAACACAACTTCATGTCATTAACACTTAGAGTTGTGAACAATTAATTTGAAACACCAACCAACCACATAGAGACAGAAAGAAGGGCAATATTTTTAGATTTCAGTGAAAAGGTCAGGGGAGGTCAGACACATTTCCGTTTCTTTTTTGGAAAGCATACACTTTTAATCTATTTATGGGAAACCCTTTTTTGGTTTTGATGTCATTGTGATAAAATTCAAGATCAATAATAAACTAAAAATAGAAAAAAACATTGAACTAAATCACAGTCCACCATGATGATGATAGAATACAAACACAAACCATGACTCATGGTAATTATTATGATGGGAATGAACGGCAATAAAAACAACAGCTATGACAAAAGAGAATTTCACAAAATCTAGTTATAAAGTGAACCGAAGAAACCGGCATTATAATAGACAAATAATAAAATCTTAGTTGTATATTGAGTCTGCGGGTCTTTAATTATTATTTTATAACTGAAAATTGGGTGGTGAATTTGTGCAAGTGATCCAGACCTAAACAAACCTCCACCCTCCCCTATTTGTAAAATACTATCAAACAAAAGACTAAAACTAGACATGACATTTTGTAAAAAAAGAGTGTGGTTGGCATAAGACACAAATATTCATTTCTGCTGCTTTTGGTTGGGTTTAGTTTATTTAGCCGGATTGTTTGCCGGTTGATTGTGTATGACATCATTATTCACAAACATACCAACCAAGCAAAGTCATAATGTCGGCAGTCCGACCGGCGCAACAACACAGCACAGCCAACCAACCACTCATATGGAAAAATATGATTCACAACACTATAATAACAAAAAACCATTTCATTCTATACTTATATAAAATGTGTATAAGCAGCAAAAGAGAAAAATACTAATGGTAAACACGCAACAAATTAATAAAAGAAAAAATACTACAACCAAGTAGTTTAGACATTAAGCCATAATAAAGTGCTACAATAAAAAGAACCGGGCTATAAGACTTGGTTACAAACAAAACTAAATTTTGGAAAAGCAATTGCGAACAATTTTAAATAGAATTTTTGTTTTGATAGGAAACGTACGTTCGATTTAGAAAAATACTTTTTTAGACAAATACATATCCAATTTCCATGAAAAATGCCATTCATGAAAATTTCTCTGTCTCTAACTCACATATAGATAAGATGTAAATATGTATTTTACTTTTGCACAAATCTAAGTACACGTTTAGACAATGGGTTTCTGTTTTTGTTTGCTAATTGCTAGTTTTGAAAAAAATGGTAGCCGATATATATAATACGTAAAGCACAATGCTAATTAAAACAAATCTCCAACAGTACATATGTGTGTATACAATTCTCAAACGCATACAAAACGAGATGCAAATGAACAAATATAAACGTATTTATCACACAAAAAATAAGAAGAAGTAAACATGATAACAATAAAGCTGTAAAGTATTTCTTTTTTTAAATATAACAAAAAAATAAAAATTAAATAAACAAAAAAAAAATGAAATCATTTATAGGGTTGAAGTGAGCGAAAAAAGAGCGAGAAATCATGTGTCGCGGAGACGGATCAATAATTAAAATTAAAATTCAACGGTGCCTACTACCTATAATCAAACCAGGCTTCTTGAACCAAATATAACTAATGGACCACTAGGTATCCCAATGAACTAGATGTTTTATATGATGGCTACACGTCTTATATTTTAACATAACCTAGTCTGTTTTAATTTTACTTTGTGATTTGATTCGAACCTACACTAATTCAAAAACCAGTGAGCGGAGCAGTATAGTCGGACGGGGCCGACCATACGATACCCTACACAACTACCACGGAGTTTTAACTTTCTGCGGATGTTTCTTCCGAGCCTGGGCAAAGTTTCGGTCCACTTCATCCCATAATTATTATCTGATCATCAGCGAAAACTATAGGCGTTGTCCTTGACCATAACTGGAACCTCATGGAAATTTCAAAGCGATCAGCGCTATATTTCCGCCTTCTAGTAGTTCAGTAACCCATTACTGAATAATGTCTGAATACGTAAGCACCAGTAAATATTTTAGTGTAACTTTCACATCCGATTACACACGACAATATAATTGGTATCAATTTAAAGGTCAACCACGCCTCTTGGATATACTATCAACTTCTCGGGTCTATGATCTTCAGGGCTAAGTATATATGCCATAAAATACAAATTTTGTCATTTTTTACACAAAATTCAGGGCCCATTTGACCCGCTAAATATTAACCGTTCCTTATCAAAACAGGCATGCTTATTCTTTGGCCCGATCCCCTTCTGCATGTAAAATTTCACGATGTTCGTGCAATAATTGTGGCCTCTGGAGCGACCAGAAAAACCCACAAAAATTTAGTATTTGGTCCATTTCATCTCCTAAATATTAACCGATCTTTACCAAAAACAATAGGGATCTTCATTGGCCAGAACCCATCCTACATGCACAATTTGGTGAAGATTGGTTCATAACTGTGGCCTGTATCGTGTTCACAAATTGTAATTGACAGATGGACGGACGGACTCACATGGCTAGATCGACTCAACTAGTCGAGATATGATGATCGGTATACTTAAAGGTGAGTCTAGGACCAATATTTCGCGGTGTTACAAACTCTTAAGGCTTCACAAAGCTATAATAATGACCCCATAAAATTTCAAGTGAAAATCTCAACAACTTTTGAAGATATAGCCGATTTTTGGTGTCAGCATCAAGCGACGGCTGAAGTGCTTCTCAAACTATAAACGCGTTTTTCTCGAAACAGGGTTTTTAAGAATGGCGGGCAAGATGAATTTTCCGGATCAAACTGAATTTTTCTACATAATAGTCAATATTTTATGTTGATTTTCTTATAATAATCATTTGAATCTGTGAATCCCCTTGTTTTTTCGGGCCATGATATCTCGAATTTCTCTCAACTCCAACCTCATATAAATGTACAAACTAAATTTTAAAATATGATTACAACACTTCAACTTACCCAAACCATATTTATAGAAAATATCCTCAACCGATACAATACTGGGTTGCTGTTGTTGTTGCTGTGTTGTCTTCGATGTTGTTATTGTAGCCGGCTTAGGAGCCGATGCTTGTTTCGTAACTACTGGAGTAGGAGCAGTCGTCGGAGCAGCAACCGGTGCTGGTGTCTCCTTTTTAATTTCTGGTACAGGCGCTGGCTGTTCTTTTACCGGTTCCATTGCAACAGGAACGGGTTTAGCCACCGCTGGAGTTGGTACTGGTACGGGTGGTGTCGGTTCAACAACTGGTGCGCTTTTCTCTTCAACTTGTTTTGGAATTTCAGCCTGAACAAAATCATCATCGAAATCATCTGCATCCAGATCTGTTGTTTTTGGTTCTTGCAATTTAGCCAATGGTGCTGAATAGTTATTACCGGATGCCTGAGAGTCGGGTGTTGCGGTACGTTCATCTTTGAAATCACCCAAAAGATCTTCACTGGAAATGAATTTCTCATTGTCCTGCTCCTTTAGAGCATCGGATGGTAGCTTCTTGGCTGGCGAAGGATTATACGAAATGGAAGGTGAATCATTGTCGGAATCTTTGTTGCTAGCCGCAATGCCTGTTGCAGCTGTTTTGCCGAATGTTGTCATGGCAGCCGGTTCATCATCATCATCGTCGTCAAAGTCGTTAAATTGGTTGTTTGCACTTGTGGCTACACCCTCTGCTGGAGCTGAGGGCTTAAAGTTATTGTCACCGCCACCAAAGTGTCCGAATATATCATCAACAGCCTGGGCTGCCTTCTTTTCAATTTCCTTCGCAGCATCTCCTGCCTGGTCCTTAAAACCACGTTCTGCATTCATGAAATCATTGGTCAACGAAGCCACACCTTGTTTTACACTGTTTGTGGTCTGACCCAGGAAATCTTCCAAATCATTGGTGTTCTTTGAAAATTTGGCATCCAATTCCTCTTGGGCCTCCTTGGCTCCAGCTGACATACGTTGTACGAAAGCTTGGGGGTCTAATGGATCTACCATGCCATCCGATTTAACAGTGTCAGTTTTTTCAACACCACCACCCAAAACGTCATCAATGCTGCCCAACATATCCTGGGCGTGTTTCTTGGCATCGTCAGCACGGTCAAAAATGTTTTCGACGGCCGAGTTGGTTTCCTTTTTCAAATCGCCGAAATTAAAATCCATTTTTGGGTTTTTATTTCTGAAGGAATCAAGGATTTACGGGAAGGACTTTGTGTATGTGATTGGTTGACTGTGTCAAATAAGAAGGGGTTCAAAGTGACGTATGTTTTCTTTTTTATCACACTGTTCACTCAATTTTCATTTGACACTTTGTGGCCTTTTGCTCTCTTCTCTCAGTTTATTCTTTCTTTTCTTGACACTAAGCTCTCAGGACTTTTTTACCTTTTAATTTCTTTTCTACTGCAATATTTTTTCTTTTTTTCTAAAAGTCGTTTAAGTTTGTTTAGCTCATTAACAAATACTCGCAAATTATTTTTATAGTTCACTTATTTTTTCTTTTTCTTTATATTAAAAAAAATATATAGATATGCCTTTGCTCCTTTCCAGCTTCTTGATTAACAGTAATCGCCCTCGCGTCGTCGTAGTGAATGATTGGTTGGGTTGCACTTCAATTTTGCAAATGAATTCAATTCAGTCAGTCGTTTTGTTGTTTAGTATGTGTGTGTGTACTTTTTTTAGCCGATGACTCTCTTGCTCTCTTTTTGAAAGCTCCCTCTCTAGCTTGGAGAGCGACCAAAAAATAAACGAAACAGAATTTTATTAGAATTTATGAATGAGTGGACAATATAAATTTAAAGAAACACAATTGCACAATTAATCACAGATGATGTTCTTTTTGTCTGATTAGATTTTAAATATAATCCAATTATTAATCAACGTTCGGCAAAATTTAATGTTCCCGGTATTCATTCAACATCAGCTGTTAATTCAATGTCAACTAATGACAATCAAAATAAAAATCGCTCCACATGATGAAATTAAACGGATTTGTTTACATATTATACAACAGATGGCGCCCACTGCATACAATCGGATGAAGGCAATGCGTACAAATTTATAGCCCATTTACCCACTATATGATGTGAATTAAACGAAATCCTAAAAATAAATTAATGTTATTTACATCGGCATTGAGATCATTTCAAATGACTGTCAGCAGGTATTTATTCGAAAAGTTTTGTCGCAAAAAATCATAAGGAACATTCGAGAAGCTTTACAAATTCAAAAAAAAAAAAATCGGGAGAACATAGTGAGAATTTGAGAAAATTTCAGACAAAACTCTAAAGAAACACTCGAAAATGGACAGAAAATAGGGAGATTTTCGGACATTTTTGCAAAAGTTTAAATACAATTCGGAAAAGATTTGGAAAGATTTATACAAAAATATGACATTTATCGCATGATTGAATCGAAACCCTGAAAAAATCTAGATATTTTCGAATATACTGTGGCGATCACGTAATTAAAACATTTTTTATTGCAAACATTTTTTGATCAGCCCTCGATTCATTTGAAATATTTTCAAACATTTTTTAATTAAGAACTCTTAGATACACTGCAAATTTTCCATAAATAACGATTTTTATGAAAAAACATTGCTTTGAAGTGGCCACGTAATTAAAACATTGTGCGATTTGCTTTACTGCAGTTTTTTTGAAAATATTTTTTACAAACTCATTAAGTTTGTTAAATTAAGTAACTAAGTACAAATAAATAAATAAATTATTTACAAATAAAAAATTAAACGGCATATACATTAGAACTTTTTACCGGGTTAACCTACTTCGTGAGGATTTATTTGACATATATGCAAAGGAATTGACAATTGAAACCCACTGGGTTAACGAAATCCGACTAAATGTAAACGTACTGTCAAAAAAAATCTGTAAAATCTATCAAAATTGGCAACAATTTGTACAGTACACCTAACATTCGGAAAATCACACTTAATATAGATAGATTTAGTACAAAACAATAAATACTTCTTAAAATAAATAAATATTTGAAATTAAAACTTAAAAAAATGGAATAAACCTAAAGGAACGATTCGATTTCGATAGCCTTTATTGAAGAAGGCCGGCAAATGTTTGCAATATTTAAGGAAATTTCGTTTAATATTGACATTTATTATATCAAATCAATTGTTCGAGTAGTACAGAATATATTTTATCAAAAAATATACCTGTCACAACAGAATGAACAGAGATATACGCCAGGAAAACTTTTTAAAACACATCAGCATTTCTGGACCCTTAAATCTGTTGGACATGGTAATATTTTTGCAAATTAATATTTTTTGAAAAGAATAGTGCCATTTAATCTATTTTATCCTCAATGAAAGAAAAAAATTTAGTTTGACCAATATTTAAAATCTTGTGTTGCGCCTCACATAGTCGAGAGCATGGCACAATAAATAGGTAGTCCATTTAGCGCAGCTGATGCCTTGATTGCGCAATTTCTACTTGAATTCGATGGGCAATGTTGCCAACTATGTGAAATATTATAAGAAAATATTTGACAGATGATCGAGAAAAAAAACAAAGGTTTTTATTTTGATACATCACCTTAGTCAGTAGTCACACGTGCAAAATTTCATGACAAATTTTCTTCTCAATTTCTTTAAAAATTGCATTGTTGTTTAGACACGTAAATAACCCTTGCATCAAATTTATGAATTTTCTTATTCTTGCACACACTCATTTTCTCGTTTGACCATTGTTCATGAAAATTAAACAATGGAATTAAAAGAAAAAAACTTAATTATAAAAGGAACTTTTGAATTACTCGAAGACGCTATAGCCGTAGAATGAAGACCTGTTATGTAGGTTTTAATTTTAATAACTGCCTTGATGTTTGTTTGCCGACAGAAAAAATAAAATGAAAGAAAATGCAAAACTTTTCTGCAGCCAACTTCAGTTTTTTACAACGAATTGCGGAATTTACGGAATTGCGGAGTACAAGTATGTCTGTATCCCCTTTTATTCCTCTCACCTCCTTCGCCCATAAACTCAATTTACTTTACCACAAAATTTGCCCGTGTGACTACTGACTTATTATTGCATCATGGTCGAGAGTAATAGTACGTTTACATTTAACCGGATTTCGTTAACCCAGTGGGTTTCAATTGTCAATTCCTTTGCATATATGTCAAATAATTCCTCATAAAGTAGGTATATGCCGTATAAAAATCGACATTTAAATTTTTCGATTTTTGCCTCTGAACAAAAAGTTGACATTTCTATTTTATCAAACCTGCTCAAAATCGATTTTCGACTTTTACCGTTTAATGCAATTTAATCTGTAAATCAGGATTTACACTCTTGCATAATTAAATTCATAAAAACCGCTACCATTTTGCGTCATTTAAAGGGAATTTACATATAACATTTAATCGTGATTAAAGGCTGAATCAGGGTTTATTTTCTTAATCAGGCTAAATTTACCATGATTTACCACACAAATTTAAATCATGGTGCAGCAGGATTTATTTTAAATCATGATCGAAATCATGATACTACTGAGATGCAACGCGGGTTTTGTACGAAAAAATACAACTCTCTCACAATGTACCAAAATTTGCAACTGTTTTTACATGCCGTTTGTTTTTAAATTTAACGGCTGACAAATACAAAAATGACAGATCAAAGGAAAATAAAAATTAATTATAGAATTTTTGTGTTTTTAGGTGTTTTTTACTTTCCAAACGATCACAGTATTGCAAAAACATTTCCATTGTGGTAATTCTTCTCTTCTTTTTCAAATTGCAAACATATATTTTTGGCGCAAATTAATAATTTTGTATGTATACTAACTAACATCAGCTGATCGGCATTTAGATCATGATTAAGGGTATGTGTAAACAATTAGGGTGTATTTCTGGATTTCGTTAATCGAGTCGATTTAAAATCGTATATGTAAATGTATTTTTACCATACAAACAATAAATAACGATTCCAGCTAAAACACCATACTATGCTATACAATCATGTTTTTGTACCATGAAGTACTATGTTCTCATTAAATATTAAATTAAAGTCGCTCGATGCATATAGATTAATTCATGGTATAATAATAAAAGGTAACAGCAAATGTTGTTGTATAACAAACGATACAACAACCACATGGAAATTTATTGTTGTAAGTTATACTAGTGTCAACGTCATTTGACAGAAAAATGTAAACAAACAAATTATGAACAATTTTTTTTTTTTTTTTGAAAATGAAATATTTTCGGATCCTCAAAATATAATTTAAACATGAATGGAAATCTATCAAATTTATATTTCTATCGCTTCCACATCTTTCCTATAAATGAGCCATTGCCACTTATATGTGTAACACGTATGAAAATGCTGGGAATTGCGAGTTATTCTATGAAGAAAGAATTGCTTCCTCAAACTTTCCCATTAGGCAGATTGAGTAAATTGTATATGGGAGCACATTTAATAAAGAACAATTTCAAATTGTATGCGCTCCCAATTTTCCTGTTGGGTGATTTTTAAAAACAAAGCAATTTTAAAAGCAACATCCCAGTAGTTCGAGTAACAGGTTATGAACTGGTTATTTTACTAATTACCTGTAACTACCACTAGTTACCTCTTCATGCCCTAGACTGGTGAATTTAACATGGGTATGTCATTGGGGAAGTCAATTGTCCCCTGCTTGCGTTACCAGTATACAGTCATTTCGATAGTAAAAAATTATTGTATATTTGACTAGTTACTTATGTATAGAAAATTAGATGTATAACAGTTTGAGAAATTACAATTTATTCTGTACAAAAATATTTTTTATAACAGAGTATTGTATACATACATATGAAAGTCCCTAGTTCACGATTCTTTTGTTGGCCAAGTGCTTTTCAAATATGTTTCCCCGGCTAAATAGATTTATCTGAAATAGACGATTTAGAAACAGTTGAAGTTAGGAGTTCTACATAAAGCATTTTTTGTTATAGAAAACTTACTTATAGAAAATCGGCAGAATACACCTTGAGCATTTAGTGATGCGTTGAGGACCTCTATGGAGCGGCACCTCTTCGAGTATCGCTATTAAATGTTCACAGAAGGCATGTCAATACTCCATTAGGAATATATTTAATTTGAAGAATCTGTGAATCTATGGGGACTTCTGAAATCTGGATATGAAGCCTGTATAAGGAC